ACCGCTCTTATGGGTGATACTTTATGTTAACGAGTCGTGTACGTATCATGTCATTTTCTCTTTGTGCTTGAAATTAGTGAATCATGATTCGTAATCACATTCGTTTCTAATCATATCGTATTTGGATTGATTCATGTGTCAAATGAATGTAAAATTTAGCACTAAGTTTTCTTTATTTCCAAACTACACCTCTTATACTTTATTTATAAATAATTGTTTACTCAGTCCTAAATAAATGGAGTTAGTCGTGTTTGACATTAACCCGACTCGTTTATTATTCGGGCTAGTATGCCGTGACATATTCGTGTAGACATTGCTAACCTTCCTTTTTCTTGAGCAAATTGGTCATGGGCAGGAAGGTCACACTCCTAAACACATTGGTCTTCATATGGGCTGGCCTTCTGGAGTTAGAGAGACTAAGGCTTGGGAACAGCTTGAAAGACGAGCCCATATTATACTTTAGGAAGCATTTATAAACGGGAGACTTTGGAAAAACACAAAGGAGAAAGAAATTTTGTAAAAAAAGCCAAAATGGACAAAATTACCCTTATTTATTTTTGGATTTCCTAAAGAATCCTTTACATTTGCATGTCTTTAATTTGAAAGTTGAGAGGTTTTTCTGTCTTTTTTGAAAAAGTTTTGGCTTTTTCCAAAAGTGAAAATTTTTTTTTGACTAAAACCTAAATACTCATCCTTTTTATTTTTAGATCGAATTTAGAAACTCAATCTATGAGAAAGACTACAGGAGATTTGGGCCCATTTGATTGTAACATAGTTGAAAATTTGGACCTTTTTTTTTTTGCCATGATTGAATGGATGTCATTTTAAAGATTGGTGTACTATTATAAACTCTTAAAATGTCATTTTCTTCAACAACAACAAAAATGTCATTCATTTCATTCAATGTAATAAAAAATTATCCTAAAGATTTTAAAGAGAGGGAAAATGTCATATGTCCCCTTGAATTATTTTCCATGTTTTATATTGCCTTCTAAAGTTTCAATTTAGTCTTGAATCTCCTTGAATCTTCGAAACGTTCTAATGTTCACACCCATATGAAATTCAAATTCACGCAAGCTATTTTAAAAATAACTTTTTACGAATTTGAAAACATGGGAACTCAAAATCAAAATTAAAATTTAATGGAGTAAGTAGAACATAACAATCATTCGGGTGGCAATACTAAACTTTTTTGTGAACGAAATTAAATGAACTTTTCACTTTGGACCGTCTCATCTTCGAATTTGTGACGTGGCCTAACTACGCTCAGAAGCCAAAATAGACGTAGTTGAATTATAAGATGGAAGACCGGCCCACATCTTGACTTCAGTAAAGTGCGCAATTTATTGTTCTGTGTTGTCATGCGCAGGGTTTCTTGTGGCTGCTAGTAGCGGCCCCAAGTGCTACCATCTATCAAACTCGAGCCATTCCTCTCATCATAATTTCTTGCTTTTAACTTTAAGACAAATAAATATAAGATGCAGTTTTAAAACCAAACAAGATATATAAGATAAGATGTTGGTTTCTTTGTGGGTACTCTACTCATAATTTCTTAGTAAATTTAGGTTTTAGTAATAAAAAAAATTTCACTTTTAGAAAAAGCCAAATCTTTTTCAAAAAAGACAGAAAAATCTCTCAACTTTCAAATCAAAGACATGCAAATGTAAAGGATTCCTTAGGAAATTCAAAATTAAATAAGGGCAATTTCGTCCATTTTGGCTTCTTTTACAAAATTTCTCTCTCCTTTGTGTTTTTCTAAAGTCTCCCTAATTTCTTTCTCTCTATTTTTTCTAATGAAAAATAAAAAATAAAAAATAAAAAACCGAGTAGTAGATACTTCTGATGACCAAGACCTTTGGTGTGTGAATTTCCCACTCATAGTACACGTGAGTGAATTTCCCCATCATCCTTTCCTCACTTTTTCCATTTTGTTTTTCTCTTTCAGTTTCATGAAATCCCCACAATTTTATAAATTGTGCAAGTAACTAGTAATTTTGGGGAAATCAACGGAGACTTTGTCGAAACCAGAGTGACAAACCTGCCCTAGGGCAGACAACAACATGGCAACTAATAATTGACACCTTGAATGAGAAACATTATCATTAGTATAACATAATAATTAAGTTACGTGCACGAATGATATCCCAAATTTCTAATCATATCCTGTCTTTGAGTAACAACTATAATATTTTCTTGGACCGTCCAAAACCCTACTTTTTTCTCTTCATTTTTTTCCAAGGCCATGATCCAGAAAACTTCAATTAGAAAATGGGAAGAGAGATTACTCCAAAGTTGTTTAATACTTCTAGGCCAGACACTGACTTGGTATTCATTTATAAATTATAAGTAATCGTTTCATATTCTGTACAGACTTGCGACTATAATAAATAATTATCAGTTATTCACGCGTATATAGGTGAAATCAATTCCTTATATTAGCTCAATAAAATAGAGCAATTATTTTCGTTCGTTTTATTATACAGCAATTTAGTTGGTACTCATCTCAACATTGGGTCCACTTTCTCATTAGTCTAGTCAGCAAAATACATTCAGCATGATCCATCTTGGTAATTGGCCCATGTCATTATAAAGATAAGATTATGTTGTTAATATATCATTTATTAACCTTAAAAAACAACTTTGACATAAATAAATAAAAAAAACAACAACAATCCTTTTGTTTTCTGGTAAACAAAAGAACAATCTTTTTCATATGTAACAAACTACAAACCTACAAACCTACTATCATGTTTTGTTTTCAACTAAGAATAAGAAAGATCTGTGGCAAGTGGCTGGTCCAGCACCACTATTCTGGTACAGTAAGCTACAGCCCACAGAAACCTTAACGTGCATTATTTTACGTCTGTCTATTTTAGCAGCCTCCAAACCCACTTTCTTCCTTTATTTGGGTGTTTCTTTCATGGACCACGTTTTTATTTTTATTTTTCCTCTAATTAATTAATATTCAAATTATAGTATAAATTCAGAAATTTGGACCATGTTTGCAGGGCATAAATAGCTAGACCAAGGAAGCAAATTGGCATTTTGACAGGCCCAAATCAAGGTCTCTTTCAAACACTACATGTAGTCTACATTCAAGATGCATGCTTTAATATGAACCTTCTTTGCTACATCAAAAAGAAAGATGCTTAATCCAACTGACATAAGGTCATGGACTCATGAGGAGGAGAAATTATATAATATTATGATAGTATGGTCATGTGGTACATCTTGTATACGTGTTATAATATAAGTGAACGATATAGTTTATTTTTCTCCTTTTTAGGAAATAATATCAATAAATATTCACTACACGTGTATAAGATGTAGCACGTGGTCGTACTTCAATAGTATTCTAGCCATCATCCAGTTCTTTATATATATATATATATATATATATTTCTCCATGCAACCAAACCATTCAATCTCAGTCTCTCATTCAAAATATATAAAGACCTCTGCTTCTTCTCTTCCTCTGTCTCCTGCTAAATTCAATTTTTGCTCACATGGGTAGGCTCAATCCTATACTTGTTTGGTCGCTTTGCCTTAGTTTGTGCCTCTTTCTCTGTCCCACATCGGCGCAGCTAAAAACAAACTTCTATGCCAACGTCTGCCCCAATGTCGAAAACATTGTAAAAAATGTCGTCACTCAGAAATTTCAACAAACATTTGTTACAGTCCCAGCAACCATCCGTCTCTTTTTTCATGATTGCTTTGTCCAGGTAACTCAACTGCTAAATTTGCCATAAGAAACTCAAAGATTGACAAGTTTTTTTACTTGGGTTTCGATCAAAATCTGATCTTTGTTTTTGTGCTGTGAAAAATAAAATGGTTTAGGGTTGTGATGCTTCGGTTTTAGTTGCTTCCACTGGAAACAACAAAGCAGAGAAGGATCATCCAGATAATCTGTCATTAGCTGGAGATGGTTTTGATACAGTGATCAAAGCCAAAGCAGCAGTTGATGCAGTTCCTCAGTGCAAAAACAAAGTCTCTTGTGCTGATATTCTTGCCTTGGCCGCCAGAGATGTCATTGTTCTGGTTTGTTCGTGATCACATTAACTTCTGCTGCTTATTATTATTGTACCAATTAAGGGTGGGATTTGATGGTTGAGTTGATGTTAATGATAATTAAATGTGTTAATTATTTAATGCAGTCTGGTGGACCTTCGTATGCTGTTGAGTTGGGGAGATTGGACGGGCTAAGTTCAAGTTCTAAAAATGTAGGTGGGAAGCTCCCCCAGCCAAGCTTCAATTTGAACCAGCTCAATTCCATGTTTGCTGCCCATGGGTTGTCCCAGGCTGACATGGTCGCTCTTTCAGGTAAGACCGCGTCTCTATTGACCAATCATAATGTGATGGGTGTTGTGTGTGCGGGGAGAAATTCTTTGGTCCAACGGTTAGACCAAGTCATCCATCCGGCCACAAACATAAACAATAGAGCTCTCCGGCATTGGATGAGCTAGTATGAGGCCATAGGGACTAAAATACAGAAGATTTCCGTTGTTTATGTCTGGTCAGATGAGTGACGTGACTAATAACCGAACCAATGAATTTATCGAGTGTGCGGATTTAGACACTAATTAATAAGGATTCCAAGTGTCCCACCTAATAATTGTCTTTCGATTGGCACACATCACACACTAAAAAGCAAGAAACATATGCAGAAGTAGAGATTTTAATGACTTTTTTTGTGCTTTTAGCAACTGTGTTTTTTACAATACTTTTCACTTACAACTTGTTATCCTTAACAAAGGATTGTGTTGTGTATATAACTTGTTATAGTACTAATAAGCAAGCATCATGTTTTTGCAGCGGCGCACACCGTTGGATTCTCTCATTGCAACAGGTTTTCCAATCGGATTTACAGCTTCAGCCCAGGGAACCCAGTGGACCCCAGTCTCGACAAAACTTATGCAACTCAACTCCAACAGATGTGTCCAAAAAATGTGGACCCCGACATAGCCATCAACATGGACCCAAACACGCCCAGAACCTTTGACAATGTCTATTTCAAGAATCTTGAACTTGGGCAAGGCCTTTTTACGTCAGACCAGGTCCTTTTCACGGACGCGAGGTCTCAGCCCACGGTAAAAACCTGGGCCAAAGACAACGCTGCTTTTCAACAGGCTTTTATTACCGCGATGACCAAGCTGGGCCGGGTCGGAGTCAAGACCGGCAATAACGGAAATATTCGTAGCGATTGTAGTGTTCTTAACTAAGAGGGAAATATTTGGGTTTTTTTATAAAAAAAATTTGAAGGATGGCAAAATTCAGCTTCGGGTTTTCTCTGTTTTTTTTTAAATAAAAAAATAACAATCATTTTATTTTATTTAGCTGGCGGTATATGTAATAATGGTTAGGATGGCAAGATGTCAATCTGCAATAGACAACTGGACTTGAGAGCCCCATTCAATTTGTTCACATGAAGGCCGCAATAATTTCCAGATTCTCGTTATAAATTAATTTGCACAAAGAAGACTTTTGACTCTGTCTGGTGCATTATTTTATAAGTCTTCCTTTTGTTGTCATGTAGACCCCAACGCTGAGTCATTTGAAGGAGATTTGATTTTTCTTTTTGGTTTCTTTTGAGAGAGGAGGTTTGATTTTTCAAGATGCTTAGCTTGTCATTATCCTCTAGACTTTCTACTGTTCCTTGATGGTTTCGTGTATGCATCATTGTTTGCTAATCCTCAACTTAATCTGGTGTGATAAGACCCTCTCCCACTAATCCTTGTTCGCTAATCTTCATCTTAATTTGGTGAGACCCCATATGCAATGAAATGCTTGCAAGCTGTTTTTTGTTTTGGGTTTGGTAAACAATCCATCACTTTAATGCCCAGCTTAGTTCCAAGCCTACACTATTAGACTCGGCTAATACGCTATTTATTGAACTAAATCTGGTCGGAGACTTGTCATATAGAAAATATCAGATTAGTAGAAATAAAATTGTTTCCCCAATAATACCAACAACAAAAATTTATTTCCCAAACAGATGATTAATATTGTAGGGTAGGTTCTTGAACTCTGGCTGCTAGTGAAGGAAAAGTCTAAAACATCACAATTAACAAGTCATCTTCAACAGATCTATACAAATCATTTTGAATCCCCATCTTGATATATTATCACATGAGTCCACAGTCAACACCTTCACTCGCATTATTTGTACGTAACATGCCCTTGTGTCTATATGTAATGATGCAAGTAAAATTTGCACCAAGAGGGGCTTTGAGCAACATTTGTGGTAAACATGGCTGGCCTATAAACTAAGCTACTCATAGGGCCAGGGAGCACAGATTCAATCAATCTAGCTCAGGGTGTACCTGGTTTCGAAAGCAATGTCCTCCATGCAAAACACTAGCTCAGCAAACCTAAGTTAAAACTATTGAATCCCAAATTTTGAAAGGGGAGAGCTATTCGTGCTCTTTGTAGGGGCACGACTAGCATTCCCCTTTCAAATTTCATCCCTAAATGCACAAGCTGTATGATGAGTGATAAAAAAAAAAGTGTCAATTTGGTTATAACTTACAATATATTCTATTTGTATCGATACATAACCTAGAAGGGAAGTTGGCTGAAGCCAATAGTTGGGGGAGAGGGCAAATGAAAAGAAACAGGACCCAGATTTGTGAAAACTGAAGATAAACTTCCACGATTCTAAAATGAGCATTCAGGTGCACATTACAGTCAGTAAATTTGTCTGCAACACTCAACAACAACAAGATTGACTCAATGTTTTCTTCTTTTTTCAACTCCTTAAATCACAACTCAAGCATATCTATTTCCTTTAGCATTTGCGTTTGCATACTCCATCTTCCACTCCCCCAACCCCCTCACCCACCCCCAACCCCAAAAAGTTTACATCATATAACGATGATTCTAGTCCTCATTTTCTTGTTTCAAATATCTGTGTTTGGTGGTGGTAACTGTTTTGGGGATTCACTTCATTTATTTATTTATTTCGGGGACTTGAGTTTTCCCTTTTCATCCCAGTCAAATGTTCTAGAAGGGAAGGCAAGGTTTTTAAATGATGAATTGTTCTTCCATACACAGTAAAGAATATTAATAACAGAAGTATATGCTACAGGTACTAAACACGCATAAGAAGTTAAATACATGCCTTCCACCTTAAACTTTAGTTTCTGCTTGACAGAAGTCCTAACTTAATTCACAAGAAGTGCTTCATGTATATTTGTGTGTACGGCAAATAATTGATTTGAAGGATTTTCACGTAGTAATACTAAAACGCTAAAGTGATTTTATTGCCACGTGCAGATCAAAGTCCAAAAGCTTTCAATGAATATCATCTTAAAGTTGATGAATACTGTTAGCAACCACACACCACACAAGCACATGTAGACATACACACACCACATTCAAACATGGACAAGTATACTGTTATGGTATCAAATAATGATCTAGAATCACATGTAACAAGAAACTTTGCAGGCCTGGAAACTTTGAAGATAAGCTCTATTAAGAAAGATAAAATCAATAAAAACAATAGATATATGTTGAGGAGTGCCACTGACCTATTTGTTACAGCTACATTCAAGTCCCCATGTGTCTATACCTCCCAATGTCAAGGTATCTGTTATAATCAGCTCTGAACCTATACAATCTAAACGCCTTGATCTAATTTTCCATTACTCCTACTTTTCTACTGTCTGCCAGTGCTCACTTATCAAAGCAACAAGGTCAGATCAATATTATCAAAACTTATGGCTTGAGCCGAAACATGTACTAGTCAGTCAGTTCTGTTTTATGATGCATGCAAGCAAACCTTTTCAAGTTTGGTTGGCCAATCTTCTCCAAGTAATAGAGGGTTCAAATCCATTGCGACCTGGAAGTCCAATATAGATGCCGAACTGGGCCTGGTGGGTCTCTGTATGTATCTCACTGGACGCATCCCATTTGAACTTGCTTGACTATGTCCTTGATCTATGTGTTTATCCAGAGACCTTGAACCAGCTAAATCCAAACAGGGCTTTATTAATCTCTTTAGGAAAATCTCAAGGCCATTATTCAACAAGTTGGCACAATCCTCTGAGATTCCCATTCCCTCCATCGCCAACTTTTGCTCCAACCTCTTCCTTAAAGAACTAGTATCAGGTAGCTCACCACTGCTCTGACAAGTGTCATTGTAAATAGCAGGTCCTGATCCTTTAATTAACAGCTTTTTTGTCCTTCCAGAATTCATTGAGATGCCAAGAGGAGCTGTGAGAGGGCTCATGCTGTGAATGCTTGGGCTTTCAGCAGCCTGATCAACCTCTTCCCCATCTTCGACAGAGACAGGTGGTCTGCTTCCTAAAGAAAGCAGCTCGGTTGCCTTTTCTTGTTCTTGAATTTTGGAGATAGGACCCTCACATGCACTACTGTGGTTCTTACCCTGAGGCCTAAAAGGGGCCAAACCATCTCTTAACCTGCGATCGCGAAGATTTGGAGTTCTCCCTTTTCGAGGCGATTGGGGAAAATCTCTGCATAATAGTTGAAGACTACTTCTTTGACATCCATTTGGCACTTTAACACTCAGAGAACTTGCAATGTTGCTCTTTCTTGGTGGGGGAGTACTTGAAAGGCATGCATTTTTGAGTATTGAACGGATGAAATGATTATGAAGACAGACATTTTCTTTCCCAATTGTTGCAATGCAGAGTCTATCAAAGTCGGGTTTGCTAATCTTGAGACTCAAATATCTTGTAACAAGATTGAAGTACTTTCCCGCTTTTTGGCTCCCAACCTTCTTCTCAATCTGAGCTTTCAGTTCTAAAGTGTCTATCCGAGAAAATTGCCTGCTTGCTGGCATTCTGGTTTCAAATCAAAACCAAAATTCATTGAATTAGAAATCTAAACCAACCACTTATTCCTTATACTTTTATAAATTCTTCTGTTTTCATCTTCACCGTAACTCGCCAGTAAATTTAAGCTTTAAAAAAAATTGTCAACAGTTCCCATTGATAAACCCAAACATAACTATAGTATAAACTGCACAGAATTATATATATATAACAACCAAACAAACCCAAATTCTACATCTCAAATCCAAACCCCAATTGATTTCGTTTGATCTTTTTTTACCAAGCTAGTTTCAGTAAATAAAATTGACCTGCTGGAACAAGCTGTTGTATAGTGAAATTCGAAACGAAAGGTACAAAAACCCAGATATTGAGTTAGCTGAAAAGGAAACATTTCAACTTCATTCAACTAACAAAACACTCAACTACCCCAATTACAGGCATAGCACAGAATTTTCTCACCCAACTTAATCCAAAAGAAAAACAACAAATTTCCAAGAAAGCTCAAGCCTTTAGATTCAAAAGACTTCAAAGTAAGAAAAATTCAATTTCTTTCGTAGACCCAGTTCAGAATTTGACCAAGAAAAACGAACCCAATAAAGCAATTCAGACATTGAAACGAAAAAACCCAGGAAAAATACAGAAAATGGAACCAACCTGAATTCAGAAACTACGAAGCAGGATTTCCCTGAGCTTCACTGCACGGAACTGTAATTCTTCGATCACTGCATCTTCTACTTCATAGGGCTAGTAGGCAATACGCTGTTCAGAAGCTTCTTAGGTTGAGGCGAGTCAAAGACACGTGCGTTTAGGAAACCGCCAATCATCGTAAGAGTGTTCATACATACTCGTTTACTCCCAGGTCACAAGCACACGTGCGCATTGCTGGTTATTAGCCCACCAATTATTTTTTTGTTTCCGCAAAATTGTAAAAGGGCAAAATTTTCCTTTAATTTTAACACGATTTCTTAATCTCAAATTTTTCTTGTTTTGTTTTTTCAGATTTGTCACTTCAATTTTTGGCATGTCAATCTAAATTATCTATAATTTAATCTTATTTTCAACTTATACATGTTATATAAATTTAAACATACTTTCAACTCGATGATTGTCGTATTAATTTAAGTTACATATATACATAATATAAACTTGAGGAAAATTGTAACAATACTATTGAATTTTTACTATGAGTGTCACTTGACGAACTAAACTTGTCATCGTGCCAATTTACCATATGGACTAAGCTTTGTGCCAAAATGCCACCAACTCTTATGACCGGGAAGGAAATATTTTCGTTAAGAAAAAATTACGTGTGAGTCACGGAATCACTATTTTATTCATTTTACTCTCTAAATGGTATTCAATCTGTAGGGCAAATTTTTCAAAAACTCCGTTTTGGATTCTTTTAGTTTTGATCAAAATGATCTCGGGGTCTAAAATAGTATATTTTGATCATTTAATGGAGTAATGGGTGTTCAAAAATAATTTTAGGACTCATGATTACAGATTTGGGGTTTTGGATTTATTGCATGATAGTAAAAATGAAGGTTATATACAATTTTTAGCCTCTAGGAAACAAAATCATAAACTTAATTTTATACTCTGAAGCTCTTTAAAGAAAAATCCAAAGTTGGGTGATGATGCTTGAATTTGATAGCAAATTTGTGATTTTTCTTCCAAGAACTTCAAAGTATTTATATTCACTACTTGGTTTGTTCCTTCAATTTTAATTTCCTCAGTTTTTAAACGATTTAATATTTATTTTCTTTTTGGATACCAATCCAATAAAATTGGGTAACTTGAGTTTATTCGAATCCATCATAGGTTTGGGTTAAGTTTTCAACCCAAACCAAAGCCCAACTCGAAATGTAAAAGTCAAGTTGAGTTTGGGTTAGCCACCTCTGAATTCCTAGCATTCGAAGGTACTCGTGTTTTTGTTCCGCTTTAAGTCAGTTTCCCACCAACTTTAGTTTGGCTCTATAATCTATTTTTAACAATCTGAAGCCCCAAACGAAAATATACAAAAACAATAAATTGGCTAATCTTGGATTGTATAATGGAAAATTGAGTCTTATCAAGAATTATTTCGGGTGGAAAGTACACGGAAGGAAGAATATGCTATAAGTATTCCTTATTGCCTCAATGTGAATTACATTTTTTACAAGTGACAATTTAAACTACTTTAATGTATGAAAAGGAAAATCAAAATGAAGTACAGAGGGACCGAGGCGTGGCTTAACTTTAATCCACATTTGCGAAAGTGGTATATATTTGACAGCATGAATCCTAACTTCAATATAGCATAAGACTATCTGAAAAGAGAGGACATAATTATTATATACACAGACACACATGGAAATTTGCCAAAATAAACAGAAGTGTTTTCTAGGTTTTAGATCGAAATAGTCTCCTATGGAAGTGCGCGAAATTGAAAGTTTGTGAGACATTCATTTTCCTTTTGTGAAACCAATCATAATTTTGTGGAATCTTGTTCAAATTCCCCGTACAACCGAAGCCAAATTACAGTTGGTCCACAATGTTTTTTAAAACGTAAGACAGTTTAAGAAGCAGGCCATATATACAAAAGACATCCAACAGCTGGTTTTGGACGCAATTAAACAAGACAGAAGCTAATTAATTACCATTCTATGCATGATGCTGCTGTTCAACTTTTCTTTTTTCTTTTTTCTTTTTCTTTTTCCTTTCCTGACTGCAGAGAAAGCAAAATATACTTTTTTTATTAAAAAAAGTTGGAAATTAAAAGATGGAATATAATTGTGAAAATATAAATAAAAAAATACACCTGATATTCATCTGAAGAAAGAAAAGAAAAAAATTATCAGTTTGCAGAGACAGAAAGGGAGGGAGTCTTTAGGTTATTGGCACAAACCAACCTTCATCCTCACATTAATTATAAATTTAAGCTCTCATCTACTATATATTAAAATACTAGTAGAAGAAGATGATTAATAACTAAAATTAGCTAAGAGAAGAAGGAAAAGAAGATTAATTCTATATTAATTAAGTTGTCAGATCATCTCATTATCTCATCCATGAGAGAAATTCGAACTTGTCAATTTCAAGCAGGCATCCAAGCAGTGGCAAACACAACATTGTGACCTTTCCATGTAAGCACAACATCTTCTTCCTCTCTCTTCAACCCCCAGCCAGCTGCATGCTCATCAAGCATGGCCTTCACTTCCAAAACCGCATCTTCCCCAAACGAAACGCTTCGGAAGTTGGCGTTTCTCATCCGCTGCACCCACCTGCATTTCGGCTCAACCCTCTCCACCCTCTGGAACCCCTCGTACGCTATCACGTTCTCAATCTTCCAACACATATCCGCCTCGTACCACTGCCTCTGCTTGCTCCCTCGCGGCAGAAACGTGTCCACGGTGTCATAAGGTATCCACAGGTAGTTGAAGGCCGACCTCAATCTACAAACTAGATTATTTGATGTCAAATCTGCGTCTTCGTCCACCAAAACCACAATAGTTGGATCCAAACCTCGAAGGGCTTTCAGAAACATGGTCCTGAGGGACGAACTAGTACTCGTAGAAGAGGATGAGGCTACATCATAACCATAAGAGCTGCTCGAACCACAGCTAGTTAAATTTGGATTTGAGTTGATTGAAGGAAGGGTCAATGTTTCTTCAGGAATGTAGTGAAGCATCATGTGGCAATTTACCACAAGCGCCTCACCGCTCTCTGCGTACACTAAATTTTGCACGCGGAGCTGTTGGATTAGGTTGGCAAACCCGTCCGTATAACTGGACGGGATGACCCTAAACTCTAAAATTATATTTCTGGACCTCGCGAAATTTACCAGCTTGGAACCCAGTTCCTCGTAGGAGAGGTCCAGCATTGGGGGGACGTCCTCCGTGGAACCCGCCACGGTGAGCTTCAGCAGCGGAGGGCTCACATTAGCCTCTTGACGACCGGCAATGGCGTCAACGAGAGTTGGGATTTGCATGCAATGGGTCAAGCTGAGGTCAACAATGTGAATGACAGAATACCCTTCAACAGCTTCAAGAATGGCGGCATTAGCGGCTGTGAATCCAAACCTGTGCCAGGGGGTAAGGTCGATGAAGGAGGCGAGCTCGATGACGGAGAACTTGTGAGTGTGGATGGTGAAGTTGGCCTGGGAGTTGGCCATGGCGGCGAGGAGCTTGCAGCTGCCGATACGGGCTGCGCGGGCGATGAGGGCGCGGAGAAAGGCGCAGGTGAGGCGCTGGTTGCTGTCGCCGTCTTGCGGGGCGATGTTGTTGAGGACCCAGAGGATCTGCTGGGCAAGCGTGGCGTCGTTGGTTTCGATGGCGTTGGCGCAGTGGACAAGCAGCTGCTCCATGCAATTGGCGTCGCCGAAGTTGGTGCCGAGGGCTTTTGCGGAGGTGGGGAAGCCGGGCCAGGGGCGGGTGCGGTGGGTTTGGTTCTTGTTTATCATGGGGAGATTGGAAAATGGTGCGGTGATAATTTGGTGCAAGGCTGGGGGTGGTGCCTCAGTAAATTGCATCATTGAGAAAGGGAGGTACTTAATTCAGAAAAAAGAAAGTAAATAAAAGAAAAAGAAGAAGAAGAAGATGGAGTTACTATGAGGAGGTGTTCAGAAGGAAAGAGACCAGACTGGTAGTGGGTTGGGTTTTTGGCATTGGGAAACTTAAAATTGGTGATAGCAGGAGGGTTGGGAGAATTGATCTGCAAAACTTACGAATGGAAACAAAATTGAGGGTTCAGCTTTTTTTGTGTGAGGAGTGAAAAAATATTGGCGTTGGTGGTTATTGACATGGGGGATGAAAAGGGACTGATCAGGAGGATTGAAACTCTCATCCCCAAAAGGAGAAAAAAGAGAGAGAGAAAGAGAATATAAATTGGAAGTCAAATTGGGCAAAAGAGACTGATCCTAACTGATTTCAGGCTTTTTTGTTCTGATGGAAATTCAGAACCACTGGTGTAAAGTGACAATATTACAGAGGAGATGGATAGATATGTATCAGCAAAAGCTAGAATGCTAGGTGGGCTAGGTGGGCTAGGTGGATGGTGCAATAAAGCAACAGAAGATTGAACAAACCTTTTTAAGCTACAAAAGGGTGTAATCCCTTTTCATATCTCCCTTTTGCTGCTTTTTCTTGATCAGGTAATTAGAGAGAGAGAGAGAGAGGAGAGAGAAGGGTGAATGAATCTGATATATGATATGATGATGAGATAAAGGAGGAGCAGGAGCATGAAGGAGCAGGAGGGGCTGCTGTGGGTGTGCTTTATGTGTGCGAGTTGCGTTTTGGTGGCATGTGAAGTTAGCCGGCCAGGGGGTTGTCTGTATGTGGAAGTTGAGATTTTGTCATGGACTGGGAGGGGAGGGGAGGGTGGGATCGGATGGCAGTTAATCTTTTTTTTAGGTTGAGTATTAGAGTACTTTATCATCACATAACTCATCAACATATTCATATTGAGGGACACCCTTATAGAGCCTATTTTGTATTGTATTTTCCTAATTCAAATCATTTATTTTGTAAATATTCATTCAAATATCATCTCTACAAAAAAAAAAAAAAAAAAAAAAACCTTAAATCCAAAACATTTTAACTCCCAAATTAATTTTTTGAATTTTTATTTTTTTTTTCAC